CCACCCACTTCCAGACTGTGGAGCAGCTGCTGGCCAGCAGGCAGCCCCTGCTCATCTTCCTGGAGGAGCCCCCTGGGGTTCGGGGGCCTCGGCTATCAACCCTGGGCCTGTCCTGGCTGGGCCTGGTGGTGCAGGCGGTCCAGGCAGGCATCGTCCCAGACGCTCTGCTTGTGCCAGTGGCTGTCACCTACGACTTGGTTCCAGAGGCACCCCATGATGCATGCCACGTAAGACCTTCCTGCCCTGGGTCCCCAAGTGGATACCATCTCCAGAGAGGAGGCACAGTGTTGTGTCCTGTGACTGAGGCCCCTCAGGGCTGGGCTTAATGGGGGAGTGCAAAGGAACCTCACCCCTGTGGTTATCCTGTGGCACCCGCCGAGGCTGTAACAGTCATCCTCTCATTTCATTCTCAAAAGACCATGCTGGGGAAGGATTTTTCCTGTTTCATAGACAAGAAAATGAGCCTGGAGAGGTCACAGTCATGCACCAGTTGGAACCTGAGATGAAGTGGAACGGAAGGCCTGCACCAGGCCCGCCGGCTCCCTCAGTGCCTCCCTCCTTCCTGCAGGCCTTGGCCCCCCTGGGGCTGTGGACAGGCCTTCTGGCTGTTCTACGGAGCCTGCGACGCTGGGGCTGCAGCCGCCGAGTCTGTGTCCGTGTGCATCTGGCCCAACCCTTCTCCCTGCAGGTGTGGGCCCTGTTGGGCAAGGCTGGGAGTACCTGTGGTCTGTCCTAGGGCTTCTGGCAGCCTGGCCTTCAGGCCACTGCAAGGACAGCCTGGCTCACTTCAGATGGGCTGTATATAGGCTTCCAGGTTGGCCAGGGCAGACCACCTAAGAGCCTTGTCCTGGGCAGGAATACACCATCAACGCCAGGAGCTGCTGGGGCAGCAGGCAGACCCTGGAGCAGCTGCTGCAGCCCATCGTGCTGGGCCAGTGGTAAGGGCAGAGGAATATGAGGGTCTTGGGCAAGAGAGGCAGCTCTAAGACCCCGGCTCGTGAGCTGGCACCCCCTCCTGTCCTGACCACAGACACGTCACCAGCCCCAGCCTTCCCTCACCAGCTAATCTTTGTCCTGTCAGACCATCCAGGTGCCCCTGCCCCGCCTGTAAGCTGGGTGTGTGTTATGGCACACGGGCCTGGAAAGGACTCAGGGTACATGAGCTCCCCTTGCAGGGATGGAAACGCCCTCACCTTTATATTCAGGAGGCTCTGGGCGCCCCCGCGGTTGTCTTGACACTTGGTCCCCTCACCTGTGATCTGTGTCTCTCTCCTAGCACCGTTGTCCCCGACACTGAGAAGGAGCAGGAGTGGACGCCTGTGACTGGGCCCCTTCTGGCCCTCAGGCAGGAGGACCAGCTGCTGGTCAGGAGGCTGAGCTGGCACGTCCTGAATGGTGAGGGGCCTCGGTCTGGCCTCTGGGGAGGCTCCTGAGCACCGTGTCCTCCCAGCTGGCCAGTGGGTCAGGGCCCTCTGTTGCGGGTGGGTTTCTGCACCTGCCCCCTCCCGCGGGCCTGTTGGGGCACATGAAGACTGGCGCCTGACCCTGCCCTTGCCCCCGAGGAGGGGGCAGCCAGGGGGACGTGGTGGAGCCACTGAGTGAGGGCACACTTTGAGGCGACACTGGCTGAACCGAATGACGTATGTCAGGGACTTAACAGGTACCTGGAACAGAGGGGGCCCTTAATAGCATTGTCACCATCTTCTCAAGTGTCTGTGCTGTGGCAGAGACTGTGGGCTGGTGGGTAGTAAGGGCTTTCCTGGTGGCTTAGATGGTAAAGAATCTTCCTGCAATACAGGAGACCTGGGTTAGATCCCTGGGTTGAGAAGATACCCTGGAAAAGGAAACGGCAACCCACTCCAGTATTCTTGCCTGGAGAATCCCCATGGGCAGAGGAGCCTGGCGGGTTACTGTCCATGGGGCTGCAAACAGTCAGACTTGACTGAGCGACTAAGCACAGCACAGGCCTACAGGAGGCAGGGAGGGTCTCTGAGCCTCCAGCTTGGGTTGCGGCATATGTTTGATAATTGTCAATTCTCCACCAGGGAGGGTGGCACGCGAGGACCAGGCCTGCCGTGCCCTTCCCAGGGTGGAGTGGTGTGGGAGTGTGTGTGTGGCTGCTGGCAGGGAGGTGTTCTTGGCTGGGAAGACTTGCCCAGTGACGGGGGGACGGAGCTGCTGGGCCTCGGCCCCTGACCAGCATCCCTGACCCCTGGCTCCAGCCAGCGTGGCAAGCTCCGCGGTGATGAGCACGGCCATCATGGCGACGCTGCTGCTGTTCAAGCACCAGAAGGTAGGGCCCGCGGTGCTAAGGGCTGGGAGGAGGAGCCACGGCCCTTGGCTAAGTCCCCCTCTGCCCACCCAGGGCGTGTTCCTGTCGCAGCTCCTGGGGGAGTTTTCCTGGCTGACAGAGGAGACGCTGCTGCGTGGCTTTGACGTGGGCTTCTCAGGGCAGCTGCGGTGCCTACTGCAGCACACGCTGAGCCTGCTGCGGCCACACGTGGCCCTGCTGCGCATCCAGCAGGGGGACTTGCTGGTAGTTCCGCGCCCTGGCCCAGGCCTCACGTCCCTGGCACGCCTGAGCGCCGAGCTGCTGCCTACCTTCCTGAGCGAGGCTGTGGGTGGTGAGTCCCCAGGGCTTGCGGTGGCTGGAGCGTGCAGGGGTGAGGGGCGTGGTGCACCTCCTCATGTCTGCCGCTTCCTCCCCCAGCCTGTGCTGTGCGAGGGCTGCTGGCAGGCAGGGTGCCGCCCGAGGGCCCCTGGGAGCTGCAGGGCATCGAGCTGCTGAGCCAGAAGGAGCTGCACTGCCAGATCCTGCTGCTGCTTCACTTGCTGCCACAGGACCTGCTGCTGCTGCAGGTGAGAGCTCCCCCGCAGCCCCCTCAGTCCTGTGCCTCCCCTCCTGGACGGAGGGCCCTGCCTGCCCGAGCCCTGTGGCGGCAGGTCTGGTTGGGCTGCGTCTCTGGGCCGCCCTGCCCGGCTGGCCTGAGGTCACATGGGTGCCTCTCTCGCCCCTCAGCCCTGCCAGTCTTCCTACTGCTACTGTCAGGAGGTGCTGGACCGTCTCATCCAGTGTGGGCTCCTCGTGGCTGAGGAGGTAGGAAGGGGGCTGTGGACAGAAGCCCCTGTCTGGGCCTGGCTCCTCCCCCCGCCTCCGTGGGGTCGGGGAGGGCAGCTCCGGCCCCAGCTGAATAGATGCCTGGGTCCTGCCGCCACCACACTCCACCTTGGGGTCTGTCACCACACCTGCACTGGACCCGTGCGTACCTGTACTGACGGGCTTCTGCATACCCCCTGCCCCCCACACCTCTTGTCCACAGGGGCTGTGGCCCTTGAGGGTAGGTGCTCAGGTCCTCTCAGCAGCTGTCACCGTCTCTCGTGGCCTGGGGCATCCTCCTAGGCCTCCCAGGTCTGCGTCTGGATGGCCATGTACCATGGGGGGTGTTGGGGGGGGCCAGGACTGGACCTTGGCCAGCCTGACAGGGTCCCGTGGCTCTCCCGGCCCTCAGACCCCTGGCTCCCAGCCAGCCTGTGACACAGGGAGGCAGCGTCTGAGTGCAAAACTACTGTGGAAGCTGACTGGGGACTCCACCGACAGTGACAGTGACGACTTCGAGCAGACTGAGGGCCGGTACTTCAGGGTGTGTTGGGAGAAGCCACTGGGGAGGGGGCCGTGGGGAGGCGGTGGGAACTTCCCTCAGCCTGACCTGTCCCCTTCCAGCTCAGCCAGCAGTCGCGCTGCCCCGACTTCTTTCTCTTCCTCTGCCGCCTACTCAGCCCAGTGCTCAAGGCTTTTGCGCAGGCTGCCACCTTCCTCCACCGGGGACATCTCCCAGATACTGGTGAGCCCTGCACAGCGTGGCCATCCCAAGGAGAGGCCGAACACGGTGCGGGGTGAGCTCTGCCTGCGTGGGGCCCAGGTCTCAGACTCTCTCCCTTACAGAGTCCGGCTACGCGGAGCAGCTGTTCCAGTTCTTACAGGCCACAGCCCAGGAGGAAGGGCTCTTCGGTGAGTCCCAGCAGCCAGCCCAGGCTCTGGGCGGCAGGGGGAGGGTGGCTGGTGGCTGCTGCCCCCTAGTGGGCAGTGAGAGCCCAAGTTCGGGAGTGCCGGCTGCAGGGTGGAGGCCTTTGGGTCCAGCTTGAGTCCTCTCCTTGGGGTGTTCCTTCTTTAAAGAGAGGAGAAGCTGTGCCGGGGGACTGTCCCCACCTACAGCCTCCACTTCTCTTTCATCCAGAGTGTGCGGACCCAAATCTTGCCATCAGCGCCATCTGGACCTTCAGAGACTTGGGGGTGAGAGAGGCCAGTCTCTTCATCCGCCTATCCCCCTGCCTCCCACCCCCATACTCTGATAGAGCTGCTGAGGGGAGCTGGCTGTACCCACTCGGGGATTTACCCAGGGTTTCCCAAGAATAGGCATGCGGACAGTAGTTGGGGAAGGTAGGATAGTTTTCCTGCCCCTCTCTGTCTCCCTGACCATTGGCTCATCCTGCTCCCAGGTGGGGCATCAGGATGTTTGAGAGGCAGCATTTGACCTCAAGCACTAAGGCTCAAGGGGTCAGTTTTCCAGGGGAGGGGCCCAGCACCCATGTGAGCACTCAGCGCCCTTCTCTGTGGCCCAGGTGCTGCAGCAGATGCCTGGCCCCACAGGCCCCATGCTCCACCTGTCCCAGGCCTTTGCCAGCCGGGAGAGCCAGGAAAAGCTGGGACAGTTCATCCGGCAGTTCATCTGTAGCTAGAACTGGGGAGGAGCCCTTGCCGAGACTCTTCAGCCCTGGAACACAGCCCTGCCCTGGAGCAGAAGACTTAAATCAGTCTGGACTGTCAGATCTTTGCGGTTTGACTGTGCCTTGCTTTCTGCATCCTTTGCTGCAATAAACTAGAGACTGGATGAGTCCTCGTTGCCCAGCCTCAGCACTGTATGTTTGGTGTGATCATGTGTGTGTATCTGCCCTCCTTCCCCACTGGGTGAGAATGCCCTCTCACTCCTTGAAACACATCCTAAAGGAAGATGAAGTTTATTGAGGAGGTGAGCACCACTGCCTCCCCCTCTACCCGAAGAGAAGCCGCGGGGGCTGGCACCAGGCCTCTTGCCACGCTGGGCTCCGTGGGAACAAATGCCCCTTCTGCCTGCAGCAGCAGTCATCACACCACCTTGCTGACGATGACACCCAGGTCTTCAATCTCACACTGGACTTCATCGCCCTTCTGCAACAGAGTGGGCCATGAGGCTGTCAGGCCTGAGGTGTGGTGCACATATACAGACCTGGGTTTCTCGGGTCTGAGCCAACCCTGCCAGGCCTCTGCCTTTCCTCGCTCAGCCAACCTACCTTGAGGAAGACAGGAGGCTTCCTGAACATACCCACACCTGGGGGCGTCCCGGTCAGGATGATGTCCCCTGGATAAAGAGTAACGAACCTACGGGCAGAAGGGCCAGGTGAGGTCAGGGGCTGAGGTGCCACAGCCTGGCATGGGGGTCTCAGTAAAGCCCCCTGGTGGCTGTTTGGGGCCAGGCTCTATCCCACTTACTGAGAGACCCAGGCTATCAGCTCTTCTGTCTTAAACACCATCTGGTTGGTGTTGCTACTCTGCATCACTTCCCCATTCACTCGGCAGCAGATCTTTAGGTTGTGTGGATCTGAAATGCAAAAACAACACATTTGGGATTCTCCCTTCTGACCCTCAGACCCCTCCAGACAATCAGGAAGCGAAGGCGCAGGGGGCCTTGTAACTTGCCAGGTGAGAGGCTTGTCCGCTGGGCTCCCTGTGCCTGCTCTGGCGCCCTGTGTGGACTCTGGACTCTGGCCCGCCCAGGCCTCCCTGTGCCCACCACCCAGCACAGTGCCCGCCGGTGGTCAGTGGCTGGGTTAATGAGGGAATGTTCCAGGCTCAAGGGGCAGAGAACAGTGGCTGGGTTTTGCCTTAAAAAGCAGATTCTATCTGCAGCAGAGGCTGTGTGTTACAAAGCAGCAGGGTAACAGCATGAGTAGTGAAGACCCCTGCACCTGCCGGCTCACCTCTAATAGTGTCCTGCACTTTCATCCTGACTGTCTGCTGTTTCACACACCCACAGGCACACCCCCAGGAGCCCAGTTTAACTTCAGTGATGACTGACTGCAAGGGGCGCTGTGAGGCTGAATTACACGGACAGGCCCCGCCCGGGGGGCTGTGCTGTCCTCCTCACCCCTGTCTTTTCTCCAGGCTCTCACTGTGCCCTTGCTGCTTGCAGCTGCTGCCACCTGGCTACACACCGGCTGGGTGAGGCCCCGGGGGTTAGCGCCCATCTCCTTTATTAAAGAAAGGGCCGGGGGCTCGGGAACAGCTGTTCTCTGCGATGCTCCAAGGCCAGCCCTGCTCCCTTCCGACGTGAGGCCTCTCCCAGATGGTGCAGCCAGAGGAAGCCTGACTCAGGCGTCAGGAGAGAGCCCTGGCCCCTAGTACTGCATGTCACGAGCGCGGAGTCCCTGCCTCTGCTGCTGTAGGCCTCCACGGGGAGGGGCCGGGAGGGAGGCCGGTGGAGCACTTGGCCCAGGTGGAGAGATCCGCTCTGATCCAACAGCCAACGAGAGGGCGGCCGGGGACGGGGCGCTCGGCGGGCCACGCCCCTCACTCCCCGACTGAAAAGCGGCTTCGCTGACGCATCCATGCGAGAGCAAGGAGAGCAGTCACCAAGCAGGCAGCAGGCACCTACCTGCCACACTGTCCTTGGTCACCAGGGCAGGGCCCAGAGGGCAGAAGGTGTCAAAGGTTTTCCCCAGCAGCCACTGCTTTCCATTGCGTCTCACCTGCCAGTCACGGGCACTCACGTCGTGTGCCACAGTGAAGCCAGCCACATGGGCCATGGCATCTGCAGCCTGTGGGGGCAGGGGGTTTGGCCAGATGGGAGGTTAGCTCATGGTGACACCAAGCCCGGTCACAAAGGGTCTCAAAGCCTCGATCCCATGTCAGGGCTGCAGAGAGCTGAGGTGGTGGTGGGCGAGGGGCAAGGCCATATCAGGGGCGGGTAGCTACCAACCACTCCCCAGTGCCAGGGTAGCTGGCCCTCCCCCTCACCTTGATGCGCTTGCCTCTCTTCCCAATGACCACGGCCAGCTCCACCTCCCAGTCCACCTCCTGCAGGGCGGGAAGGGGCAGTGAGCTGCTGGGCCCTGAGCTCCGTGATTCCGCTGAGGGGCTCCTGCCGCGGGGCCAGGCCTCTTAACGGTGGCGTGGCTGCCGGCCCGTACGTGGGAGACCGCAGCCCTAGGGGAGGCCCCGCAGGGGAGGTGTCACGTGTGGACCACAGACTTCGGGCAGTGGAGGCAGCACCGCTGCAGGCAGGCAGTGACTCCAGGGACTGCGGAAGAGCAACATTTTTCTGGGGAGGGAGTTTTACCAAAATCACTCTTGATACTTCCAAAAAAGGATAAATACCGAATAACAATAGCTAACCCTACTTGTTTGCCAGGCACTATTCTAAGTGCTTTAATGCACTAACTCACTTAAATAATAACAAGATCAACATGCCAAAATAAACGTGGGCCAAAGGCTTGAATAAGCAGTTTACAAAAATATATACACACAGCCACAAAAAGGAAAACAGGCTCAGCTTGTTCCATAATTAGCAAAGTGCAAATATAAACTAGATACAAGTTAGTCATGCAAACTGACTTTTCTAACAGTAACAACCATGAACACAAAAAAGAACTGGATTTCTTGGGGAAAGGGCCAAGTCCCTGTTGGTGACGAGAGTACGAGACAAGCCTGGAACTGCTTGGCCATAGGAAGGAAGTGCTCAGAAAGTGATGCGGGTGGGGGCCATCCGAAAGCCTCCCCCTAACCAAACTGAGATCCTCTGAGTGTCAGAAACAATGTAAATGATAGACTATGGATTATGACATATTGGATAAAAGTAAAAATCAGGAATTTACAGTGATAAAGGGACAGGGGTAAAACAAAAAACCAAGCAGTGTTTCTCCACAGAATACCAGGTAGTAAAAGTAGAAGGCATGATAGAGAAAAAAAGTCAGCTTTTTCTAACCCTTACTGCAGTAATGGGTTCAGGGAAAGATGACCAGATGATCCCTGGAAGAGAACTTGTGGGGCAAATAAGATAGTCACGTGGTTTCAGTGACTCCTCTGCAGGCTGTTTACTCACTTCCACAGTGAAATGTACCTTTACCATGGAGAGGTCACGTGAGCATCAAGGAAAGTAAGCGATCAAACTTCAGGACCAGCTGACACTTCATGTGACACAAGTGCGCACCTGCTGCTACAGACAACGTCAGGGTCCCTCCCCACCCCCCAGCTCATCTACCGCAACCTAAACCCCAGGGTGACGGTAGGAGGTGTGATGGTATGAGAGGTGATTAGGTCATGAGGGCAGAGCCCCCATGAAGAGGCTGGTGCCCGTATAAAAAGAGATGTTAGAGAGCTCACTCCAAGGACACAGTGAAGAGGCAGTCATCTGTGGACCAGAAAGTGGGTCCTAATCTGTTGGTACCTTGATCTTGGACTTCCCAGCCTCTAGAATTTCAGGAACTCAATGTCTTGTTTTATAAGTCATCCATTTTACAGTATTTTGTGACAGCAGCCTGAACAGATTAACCTGTGTAGAACTTGACAAAAATGTTTAATCTGAATCTAATCATGACGGACCAACCAGACAAATCCAGAGTGTGAGACACGCTATGAGACAATGTGCCTGATTTCTTCAAAAAGTCTGTCATGAAAGATAAAAACAGTAGGGAGAAAAACTGCTTGAGATCAGGGGTCAGCAAGCTGTGGCCCACAGGCCAAATCCTTGCTTGTTTGCTGTCTCTGTTCCTGTAAATAAAGTTTTCCTGGGACAGAGTCATGTTCCTTCATGGACCAGCCAAGCTGCTTTCATACAACAGTGGCAAAGCTGAACTGTTACTACAGACACTACTTGCTGCTCAAAGCCTAACATTCACTGTTAACCGGCCCTTTGAGAAAAAGTCTGCGAATCCCTGTTCTGGACAAAAGGCACCAAGAGATATAACCAAATATAACGTGTGATCCTGACTGATCCTGGACGAACACCAAAAAACAAAATAGGACCCAAATTAAAAGTCACCTTTGGAGGCACTGCCAATATTCCCAATTGGACTGGTTAATATTAACTTAGATATGGTTAATATTAACTTTCTTAGTTGTGGTAATGGTATTATGGTCATGGAGGACGTTGTCCTTATTCTCAGGAGATGTATGCTGAAGTTTTTATGAGTGAACGTTTTTCTTTTTTTTGCTGACAAAGCAACAGACTTTACTGGGAAGGGGCGCCTGGGTAAGGAAACCCAGGAGGAGGACTGCTCTCCTACATGACTTGTAATTATGAGTGAACTGTCTTAATGTCTATAATTTACTTTGTAAAGTTCTTTCTACTAACCCCCCTTAAAAAAGTGTGTGTGCGCCTGTGGGACATGAGGGAAGGAAGTAGAGACGTGGGAAAACAGGGCAGCGGAGGGAGGGAGGGAGGGAGAGAAGAGCAAATACAGCACAATGGACATTGTGAATCCAGGTAAAGACACTGGGTAGTCACTGCATTTTCCCCCCCAACTTTTCTATAGTTTTCAAAGTATTTCTAAACTAAAAATGTTAAAGTGCTAGGAAGGGTACATACACTGCCGGTGGATATGTAAACTGCTTGTGCAGCCGAAGGTCACTGGCTAATTTTTGAAACCCTGCCTACACCCTGATAAAGACATTCACATTCTAAGAGTTAATTTAAAGGAAATAATCACACATTCATGGGTGTGCAAAGTCTCTTCTGTAAGGGTGTTCCCTGCAACATTATAAAAGCCAAAAACTGCAAACAACCTCTTTAGCAATATGAGGACTACTGAATACATTATGGCCACTGATACAATAGAAAACTAAGCAGTAACCTAAAAAACGTCAGGGGAGAATATTTAATGGCATGAAAAATGTTCTTGATAGAGAACTTAAGTAAATGGTAGGTACATGCACAGTATAAACAGAAACAGGAATAGAAAAACCCTGGGAATTATATGTGGAATCTAAAAAGAAGTGATAAAAATGAACTTACTTACAAAACAGACTCACTGGCTAGAATGAATTTATGGTTGCTGGGGCAGCGGGGAAGGGATAGTTAGGGAGTTTGGGATGAACATGTACACACTGCTGTATTTAAAATGGATAACTAACAAGGTTGGACCTTTTGTATAGCACATGGCACTCTGCTCAATGTCATGTGGCAGCCTGGATGGGAGGGGCGTTTGGAGGAGAATGGATACATGTATATGTACGGCTGAGTCCCTCTGCTGTTCATCTGAAACTATCACAACATGGTTCATTGGCTATTCCCCCAAAACAAGTTCAAAAGGAAAAAAAAAATTCTGGGAAGATATTCAAGTAGAACATGAATGTTGCAAGCCCTGCACAGTGGGGACATGTGTAGCTTTTCATTTCTTTATGTATTTGTGCACTTTTGAAATTTGAAAATTATGAAATTTATGTAATTTCTTTACATATTTTATTTATTTTCTATGAAGCAAATATATTACTTTTATAATCAAACAGAAAAACAATTAATGTCTTTTTTCCCCCAGGAGCTGTCTTATCACTGTATAATACCCTGGAGTTTCTGTTTAATGCACTACTGAGCAACAGGTGGTTCCCTTAGGCGGGACGCTGAGCACCTGTGTGATGGGCCCCAGTGCCCGGGGTGGGGGAATGGGGGGTAGGCACCCACCTGGCTCTCGGGCGGAAGGATGATGTCATCGTAGGGCCCCACGATGGCGCTAGCGAACTTGCTGAAGATGATGGGCTCCTTGGGCACAGGCACGTTCTGTTCTCTGCAGTGGTCCGCATAGTTCATGCCCACGCACACCACCTTGTCTGGCCGAGTGACTGGGGCCAGGAGCGTCACCTCTGCCCGTGGGAGGACTGGCAAGTGGGTGGCCAGTGCTCTGCAAAGACCGGAACAGGAGAGGGGCCTGCTGGGGAGACCCTGCAGCTGCTACCAAGCTCTGCTTTTTAAAACATACTTTCTAGAGCAACCATCAGAGTCGGCATTGAAAACCAAGCCCAGCTATTGCCCCTTGATATGAGAGTGCTGTTTATGTTCATCCAGTGTTGACTTCCTCTCCCCCATTAGGTAATATGGGCTTTCTCAGGTGGCTCGGTGGTGAAGAATCCACCTGCCAATGCAGGAGATGAGGGTTCAGTCCCTGGGTTGGGAAGGTCCCCTGGAGAAGGAAATGGTAACCCACTCCAGTATTCTTGCCTAGAGAATCCCATGGTCAGAGGGGCCTGGTGACCTACAGTTTGTGGGGTCACAAAGAGTCTGATACTACTTAGCGACTAAACAACAACATAATATGGAATTACATAATACAGAAATACATAATAATTTCCATGTAAGTGAATTCAAAGGGTGAAAATGGGGATAAAAGAAAGCTCTGTCTTCCTCCCCTTCTCCTAGGCACCCTACTCCCTCCCCACAGACAAATGCTGTGTCCTGTATAGATCTTCACAGTCACTCTGTGTAAACTCTTCTCCCATCTTTTTTATGCCAATGACAGCATGTTATATATACGCCTTTTAAAAAATATGTATTTTAGAGATCTTAACATATAAAGTCTATTAGCTTCCTCTTTTTTGTATGGTTATATACTACTGCACAGTAGATGCACCCAATTCTCTAATAAGGGACATGGAAGGAGTTTCTAATCTTGCAAGAATATGAAAGTAGGGGGAAAATACTGTTATCAACACTGTGTGTTGTCAAACATCTGTATTTATATCAGCTTAACAGGTGAAAATGACGTCTCAGAGTGGTTTTTAATTTACTGTGTGTCAACATCTTTAGACCAGATACCATAGGGCTCCTGGGTTCAGGGAGGCACCTACCTAATCCAACTCAAACCCAAGAACCATCTTTAAGAACATCTTTGCAGTCCTCTCCCCTCTTAGGACCCAAGGTTCCAGCCCCTCAGGCAAGCAGGCCTTAACCCCCTAGGGAAGGCAGTGGGACAGAGTAGAATCCTGGCCCCCTCACCAAGCATGTGGCCGGGGAAGGTCAGTCATCCTCCCTGGGGCGCCCCCTGTAAACTGAGCCTACTGTCACACAAGACTCCTAAGGCTCTTGGCCCAGAGAAAGGAAGCCTGCGTTACCCTGATCCCTTGCAAAAGAACTACCCTTGTTCTGTTTCCCAGGGCAGGGTTGGGTGGGGAGAGGGGAGGGGAGAACGGGGCAGCTAGGGCAGGGCCATGCTGCCTGCTGACTTACCTTCTCACCACTGACAGAGTGGCTTCTCCCTGCTCCAGGAACTCCACCATCGTCCTGGGCAGTGTGGGCTCAAAGGCGTTGAGGTTGATGACACCCCCGCCATTCCCTGACTCCAGGCCCAGATGGGGTCCCGTTAGGTGGGGTGCCTGGAACTGCACCAATCTCATATCTCTGGAGGGCTGAAAGGGCTGCCTCTGCACCTGCAGCACAGTCGTGAGCAACCTCCTTCCACCAGACCCCAGCATCAGCTCCTATGGGGAGAAAGTGGGTCCCAAGGACAGAGGGCCTGAAACCATCGCTGGGGATCCCAAAGCTCCTCGAGCTGCAGCCCAAGACTTTTCGCCCCATCGGCCTTTCCTGGCACACGGCATGGGAAGCGGTCCAGATTTTGTTATTTCACCAGGTATATAAGGTGAAGTTTTGCCCAATTCTGTGCCTGTAATGAAACACTGAGACAGTGAAGGACCAGGAAGCCTGGCATGCTGCAGCTCATGGGGTCTCAGAGTCAGACACGACTTAGCAACTGAACAACGACAATGAAACACTTCTAGAGAAGCAACTACTTCATGCCAGCCACTGAGCTAGGTCCCATCTTCCTTCAACCAGTGCTTCCTGACAGCTTGGGCTGTACCTGCACCACCGAGGCACTGGGCAAATGATGCAGGCCAGACACGCTCAGCCCTACCATCCTGCCTGCAGGGAAGACTGATGTTAACAACTGATGTGGTTAAGTAGGGTTCAGTCACTGAGACCACTGCTGGGAAGATTCAGAGAAGGCAGTGGCACCCCACTCCAGTACTCTTGCCTAGAAAATCCCATGGACGGAGGAGCCTGGTAGGATGCAGTCCACGGGGTCCGGACACGACTGAGCGACTTCACTTTCACTTTTCACTTTCATGCATTAGAGAAGGAAATGGCAACCCACTCCAGTGTTCTTGCCTGGAGAAGTCCAGGAATGGCAGAGCCTGGTGGGCTGCCGTCTATGGGGTCGCACAGAGTCGGACACGACTTAGCAGCAGCAGCAACGGGAGCTGGGAAGATTGAGGGCCCTGCCTTTGTCGAGTTTCTTGAGGAAGTGTAGGCTAGGCTAAGATGAACAGGACTAGGAATTCATTAAAGTCTTTTGCTACCATGAGCAAGAGACTGCAGGTGAAACAGGCTCCACTCAAAGACAAGCTGACGAAGTCATTTTTTTAAATGCCAATTTGATCCTGTTACCCTCCTGTGTGGGCTTCCCAGATGGTGCTATGGTAAAGAACCCGCCTGCCAATGCAGGAGACGCAAGAGACACGGTTTGATTCCTGAGTCAGGAAAATCCCCTAGAATAGGAAATAGCAACCCGCTTCAGTATTCTTGCCTGGGAAATCCCATGGCCAGAGGAGCCAGGCAGGCTACAGCCCCTGGGGTGGCAAAGAGCTGGATATGACTGAGCAACTAAGCACGCACGCATGGGCGAGAGCACAGGCTGCCTAGGGAGAGGCTGCAGAGGGTTCAGGGCTAAGCCTGACGGGGGCACTCTGGTCTCTGGGTTCCTGGGCCATGACTGTCTCTCTCACTACTGGGTGCACGGCGCCTAGTACTGTGCCTGCCACACAGCAGGCTCTCAGCTAGTCTCAGCTGAAAGAAGGAATGTCGGAGCAGGAGCTTGACTTTTCACTACTTGGGAAAGCTTGGTGATCATCGATCTCAAGAGGAGGTGCCATCCCTCCTCAAATCACTGACAAAGTATCAACAAGGCTCAGGTCCCATCTTGAGTTCTAGGCTCCACTCAAAGACAAAACCCATTCTCTTCTTTTTTTTCTTTCTAAGTCTGGCCTCAGTTCCAAAAGTCCCTCCTCTTCATGGTTCCTTGCTTTTAAAAGTAGCCCTTTATGCTTGGGCTTCCCAGGTGGTGCCCGAGTCAAGAACCCACCTGCAAATGCAGGGCACAAAAGAGACATGGGTTCAACCCCTGGGTCAGCAAGATCTCCTGGAGGAAGGCATGGCAACCCACTCCAGCATTCTTGCCTGGAGAATCCTATGGACAGAGGAGCCTGGTGGGCTATAGCCCATGGGGTCACGAAGAGTCAGATACAACTGAAGCGACTTAGCATGCATTATGCTCAGGCACTTGGAGGTAATCCCAGACTCTGGTTCTCCGATGGTTCCATCTGCCTTGATAAGTTAAAGACTGATTAGATCCAGATCACTGTTCTGATTGCTCACTGTGCTGGCTGATGAGTTTAACCAGAAAACCAGGAGTTTAAAACCTCCTACCTTCCTACCTTACACAAGCGCCAACCATGCCACGGGCAAGGGCTATTCAAGCTACAGTGTTAGCACTCAGATACTTCACACACTAAGATTAAACAGATCCCACTGAATGCCAGGTCTTACCTTAAGTGCTTTACCTGCAATGTCTGATTTAATTCTCCTGACAACTGTGGAAGGTAGGGTCTGTTGGTCCCATTTCACAGATAAAAAGTCTACAATAAAGTGCTAGGACTTGAATCCAGGTACAGGCGACACTGGAGTTCTTGATTTGGGTTAACGTGTCTTTGTGTCCTCAGGGTGTTAAGCGTGGGACACTTTAGCCCAGGGGTATTGATGAGAAATAGGAACCTCCAACAGGAGATTTGGAGGCTCAGGGACTCCCTGCAAGCCGTCAGCCATGCTCTGGGAAATTTGATCTGCTGGCTACTGCCTCCGGGAGAGGGCTGGTCATTCTGCTCTCCCAGATAACCATAGGCTGACCTTCCCACGTGACAGACCCTTGCAGGTTCTTATTTCATCCTATAGCAATCCCTCCAGGCAGAGAGCCTCATTTCACAGAAGGGGAGTTGAGGCTTAAGGTGAAGTCACCAGCCACGGCACCTGAAAGTGGCCCCGCTGCTTCTGCGGGAATCAGCGAGCTACAGGGCCTGAGCTCAATCCAGCTCCGGAAAAGGGTCCTTAAGCAAAAAGGCTGGGACCTGGGGCGGCGCAGGCGTCATAAGCCTGCGAGACGAAGGTTTGCGTCCGGGATCGCGTGCCACTATCCACTCGTCTGCGCCCCCGTGTGGGTCTCCCAGTTTGCCCGTATGCCTAGCTCCCCTTCACTCGGTGGGCGCTCGGAAGGGCCCGCCCACCCCATCAGAGTGGTCGGAGAGACAGGGCAGCAGCGTTCAGTCCTGCCCATCCCGGGAGGCCAGGAGGGAGGCGGAGGCCCGGCGCGCCCCGCCATCTGGCCCAGATCTAACCTACCTGGCGCTCTGCGCTGTCGGGGTAGGACTCGCGGGCCCGAGACCACGATCACCCGGCGCCTGAGCGCAGGTACTGAGCTCGGGAGACAGCTACCAGCCTAGAGTTCTAACAAGGGGGTGAGCCGAGGGCTCCCCTAAATAAGACGTCAGCGGAGGCGGGCGCGCGCTCGTGACGTCACGGGGACAACGGCCAATAGTAGGGCGTCTAGTTCGGTGCCGGAAGTCACGTTACGGAGGGGGCGGGCCCAGCACTGAAGGATAGTTGTTCTCTTAGTTGATCGTGCAGGCCTGCTGGCTCAGAGTCTACGCCGGGCACATTTCCGGAGGCACTCTCTTTCGGGACGCCTTGCGCTTGCACGAACTTGAAAGTGGGTGCTTCCTGAAATTTTGCTCCCTGGGCCCGCCTAGGGCCCTGTATCTGGACCAGGCCCTGCTCTGATCTTTGAGCAAAACGCGGTGGAGACCAAATTATGGCGCGCTGGTTGACAAAGACAAGCATTTCGATTGTGCCAGATCAGTGAAGAGAGGAGGGATGTTTGTACCCATTTTACATCTGGGCAACCTGAGGCCGGAAGTGTTTTACTCAAGATGTCATATTGACCACAAGTGCAGCCTTTTTACAGCCCTGACTTCATATGGGCTGCACACAGGGTAGTGGGAGGCAAAACCTCCATTATTAGGAAACAGGTATTCTAGTGGAGAGGTGGTTTAATTAAACAAACAATCGTACTTTCCAGGCCTCTGGCATATGAAGACATAGGAGGCGGTCTGGGCTAGAGTCCCAACACTTAATCAAGGAGCAGACCATCAAGGGTTTTATTTGCCCTAAGGAAGGCGTTTGAGCCTTAGCTAATCTCACAGGAGGCCACTGGAATGTCCTCAGAGGGAGTGGGTTACATTTGAGAAGTTTTGTTCAGGCCACTCCTGCAAGAAAAGGTGTCGGGTGAGAGTGATGCAGCTGAGAGCAGTGGTTTGGTGTGCAACAGGGATGGTGAAAGTCCTGAGATGTTTAGAAGGCAGAACTGACAGCCCTCAATGATGACAGGAGGTGGGATTAAGGGGGAAAGAGGTGTAGGCTGACTCCTAGGTCTTTGGCCTGGTAGATGGCAGTGCCATTCACCAAGACACGGGTTCCAGGGAAGCAATGTGTCTGGGGAGAGGATGGTGAGCTCAGTTTTGGGTGGGTTGTATTTAATGTGTCTGTAGGTTATTAAAGGGGGCTCTGCATGGGTCTGGAGCTTCAGCTGTTGTCTGGCTTGAAGATGCAGGTCAGCATGCATGCATGCTAAGTCGCTTCAGTCGTGTCCGACTCTGTGTGACCCCATGGACAGCAGCCCATATAAATGGAACATGGCGAGTGAGTGTCATGGGTGGGGGATGTGCTAAAGAGAGCCTAGCATAACCCCCAGTCAGGAGACCCACCATGTAAGGATGAGCCAGAGAAATGGAAGGGAAACAGTGAGACAAGAGAACTCATAACTTCAAAAGTTAAGTAGAGAAAGGGAAGATTAAAAAAAAAAAAGACTCAAACCAAACTTCTACTAATGTAAACTGCAATGTCTGAGACGAAAAATACCCTACATGGCAGAGTCAAAGTTGCAGAAAAGAAGATTGGTGAATTTGAAAACAGCACTAGCTTTTGGGCTGGTGCCTCCATCTTCTGGTAATTTGCCAAAATGACCGACACAAAGGGGAAGAGAAGAGACTAATGTTCTCTAGGCCTTTTAGAAAACGTGGAGTTGTTCCTTTGGCCGTGTGCGTGTGAATCTACAAAAAAGGAAAGGGCACTGTTCAAAAAGGGAAGCCCCCTGACTGTGCCCACAACAGAACTGAGTCTGCAGTGTATCCCCGCATGCTGCCAGCATTGCTGGAAACAAACAAAGGCAAGATTCTCCCCAAGAAAATTAATGTACATATTGAGGATGTAAGCACTCTTAAGAGTTGGGATACCTTCCTGGAAAATGTGTGAAGGAAGAAAATAGAGGCACAAAGTAAGGGGGACTTCCCTGGCAGTTCACTGTTTAAAACTCCATTCTTCTACTGCAGAGCATGTGATTCTTGGTTGGGCAATGAAAATCCTGCATGCTGCCTGATGCAACCAAAAAATATTAAAATTGTTTTCTAAAATATGCCAGCAGATCTTATGTCTAGTGAGTTTTTTTTTTTTTAAGACCATTTCTCTGGGAGAAATTCAAACAGCTTAATATATGTGTAACTGGACCCTAAAGTAGAGGAGAGGGAGGGGGGAACAGAAAAAAAATATTTGAAGATATAATGACCAAGACTTTTCTAAACGTGATGAAAACTATAAACCCACTATACAAGAATCTCAACAACCCTCAAACACAAGACACATGAGGAAAATGACATCATGGCATAGCATAAACAAGCTAGTCTATATTAGTGATAAACAGAAAAATTTAAAAGCAGCCAGAGGACTTCTGTGTCCAAAAAAATGCAGAAGCACTTGTCTTTATTCCTCCTGTTAAGTACAACTAAAAACCTACACAAAGCAATCATAAGACTGAAAAAAGATGAGCAGGCAGGCCGGCATGGGGTCTGCATAGCCATGAGGAGACATGGCAGTGAATTCTCTGGGCTCTTATTTCTCATATATCTGGACAGGCGTTGCTGAAAAAGCTGGCAACTGGAGATGCCAACAGGTGCAGACACAAAAAGCCCCAAGAAAATCCTGCTCTCTTTAGTCAAAGGACCCAGAAAGGGACAGTCTTGCAAAACAGAAAATTTAGACAATAACTGTTGTGACCCCCATGCCCACTAGCAAAGGCGGAGTAGGAAGCCTAGATTTTCACCCTTGCCAGCCTGTAATGAAGTGCCTCAACCCTTCCCCCATGTCAGAGCGGTGAGCAGGGTGGGTCAGAGAAGGGGAGGTGGGGAGCCTGAACTGGGTAGTAACAGGGTCACCCTCCACAGTGGAGGCTATGTGAGGAGCTGGAGTTCCCACTATGCTCAGTAACAAACATCTTGAGTGTCATGGAGGCTGACTTAATGAAAATGAAAAATAACATATAAAAATTTGTGGAACTCTGCTAAGATAGTACTTGGAAGGAAATGTATAGCTCTAAATTCTTATTTTAGTAAAGAAAATTCTCAAATCAGTAAGCTTAGCTCCTCCTGGGGGTGTGTGTTAAGCCTCTTTAACCATGTCTGACTCTTTGTGACCCCATGGACTGTAGCCCACCAGACTTCTCTGTCCTTGGAATTCTCCAGGCAAGAATACTGGGGTGGGTTGCCATGTCCTTCTCCAGGGGATCTTCCAAACCCAGGATCGAACCTAGGTCTCCCACATTGCAGGCAGATTCTTTACCATCTGAGCCACAAGGGAAGCCCATTTGCCATGACTAAGACTCTTCAGAGTCCCTTGGACTGCAAGAAGATCCAACCAGTCTCTCCTAAAGGAGATCAGTCCTGGGTGTTCATTGGAAGGACTGATGTTGAAGCTGAAACTCCAATACTTTGGCCACCTAATGCGAAGAGTTGACTCATTGGAAAAGACCCTGATGCTGGGAAGGACTGGGGGCAAGAGGAGAAGGGGATGACAGGAGATGAGATGGCTGGATGGCATCACCGACTCGATGGACATGGGTTTGGGTAAACTCCGGGAGTTGGTGACGGACAGGGAGGCCTGGCGTGCTGCGATTCATCGGGTCACAAAGAATTGGACATGACTGAGCAACTGAGCTGAACTGAACTGAAATGGACCTTATCCAAGAATTCAAGGTAATTCAATAACCTTGGTGAAAGTTTCATAGACATTCCACCAAACACATCATAAAAGAAAAGAAAAAGATCGATGAAGTGGGCTTAAAAGCTTCTGCTCTGCAAAAGGATGCTACAAGTATGAAAGAACAAGGAACATATTGGGAAAAAAGATTTGCAAACTACATATCTGACAAAGCACTCAGACCTAGGATATACAAAGAATGCTCAAAAGTCAACAGAGAGAGGCTTCCCTAGTGGTCCAGTCGTTAAGAATCTACTTGGCAACATAAAGGACACAGGTTTGATCGCTGGCTCAGGAAGAACCCACATGCCTCGGCGTGTGCCACAGCTACTGAGAGCTCTAGAGCTCATGAGCCTCGACCATTGAGCCCATGTGCTGCAACTGCTGAAGCCACAGGCCTAGAGCCTGTGGTCGGCAGCAGAAGTCCCTGCAGTGAGAAGCCTGCACACCGCAAGGAAGGGTAGCCCCTGCTCGCTGCGACTAGAGAAAGTGCATTTGCGGCAATGAAGACCCAGCCCAGCTAAAAAATAAACTAAATGTATTAAAAAAAAATCTAAAAATAATCAACAGAGATGAGGCCGATATAATTAGAAAATGGGTAAATGACATAAAGAGATGTTTCACTGAAGAAGCTATTCGATGGCCCATGACCACATGAAAGATGTTTGGCATCACTGGAGATGAAGGGGTTTACACTGAGGCCAGCACGAGATGGCACTGCAAAATTATTAGAACTGCTAAAATTAAAAATAGTGACGATCTCACAAGCTGGAGAGGATGTAGATAACTGGATCTCTTATACATTGTTGGCGGGAATGTAAAATATTAGAGCCAATCTAGAAAATTGTTTGACTATTTCTTAAAAAACTAAAGAGGCACTTATAGTATGGCCCAGCAGCTGTGCGGTGGGCACTTATGCCTGCACATGATTATTCACAGCAGTGTTATTTGTAGTAGCTAAAAACATGGAAACAAACAAAATGTTTTACAGTGGGTTAGACACAATGTGGTCCATCCATACCATGGAATCCCATGTGTCAATAAAAACGAAGTATTTATTAAATAATATGTGTTCATTGTTTTTATAGGGCTTCCCAGGTGGCTCAGTGGTAAAAAGAATCTGCCTGCCAGTGCAGGAGTCACAGGAGATCTGAGTTTGATCCCGGGATCGGGAAGATCCTCTGGAGAAGGAAATGGCAACCCACTCCAGGATTCTTGCCTGGAGAATCCCATGAACAGAGGAGCTGGGCGCGCTGTAGTCCATGAAGTCACAAAAGAGTCAGACACGACTGAGCAACTGAGCGCGCACATTGCTTTTTTAGACATAATGCTATTGCACACTTACTAGACTACAAAGTAGCAACTTTTACATGCACTGGAAAAACGAAAAATTAATGTGACATGGCCCATGTTTTAGGCTC